CCCCCGCCCTGTTACATGGCATCATAGACAAGTAACTGCAGCAAGACCAACTCCAGGGACATTCAGATCGAGAAAGAAGCAGATGGATGATGACGTCATAAAATTATAGTTGCTTTGCAAAACGGTGGCGCGTGTGTGTTAAGTAGCGATTGGTCAAATCATGTTGTACCTGAACGCTTGAAAGGTGTAAGAACCGTGTGTAAAACTGCATTCAGGGTGTCCCAATGTGAACGGGACACCTCGTGCACATAAACAAAGAGTTACCCTTGTAATTCTATACTTTGCCTGCCGGCCTCTCTCCTCGCTGCAAAATTTTCATGACAAAACCCAGCTGGGGGTGCTCTGAGGTCGGGGGGCTGCGACAGGACCTCTGCCGGGCTCGGGGGAGAGGCCAGTTTGTAGGGAGCCATGGTGCCTCTGAGCAAATCGACTGGTGCAGTTAATCCTATGGGCCCGGGCATGTGTCCTGCGTTCCCAGGACTTGTTTCATTCTCCCCCAGGCTCCAGGAGATAGGGCCAGATGTTAACGAACATGGAAATTCGCTACCTTTAATAATCGCGAATTGGGCTGTGACCAAAACCTGTCAAAAAACAAAAAATCCCCTCCCCACTTTGACCAGTTCCTGTACGGAAGCACTGCTGAGCAACTGAGGCCAGGTCTAAAATAGCCCAACTCTTCCAGCGAGTTTCGGCCCAATGTGCTTAAAAATCACGACACTGTAGGCCCCTGGAAAAGGTGTGTGTCTTCTCTCAAAGCAACCTGGCAGGCTGCGAGCAGGACCGAGAGGCTCATCCTGGCAGCGACAGCCTTAGGCTCGAGCTTGAGCTGATACGCTTGATAAACTTCGGACTCGCAGAAGTTAGCCCAGACATAGCACAGGGTTAGATAAGGGGTTTCATGGTTTCTGGGGAAGGCAGGCGGGTGGGGATCCCAGCGCAGAGCGAAGCACAGTGGCCGAGCTGTTCCAGTCCCCAGGAGCCAGCGAAGGGGTATCCCAGCGCGTGCTGCCACTAACCGTGGCCTGATGAGTGTTTAGGGATCAATAGTGCTGGAGCTTTCACACAGAGTTGGGAAAACAGCCCTATCTATCAAGCAGTGCCATCTATCAAACCTTTCCAAGCCGCCTTCTGCCGTGGGGGAATTAGGGGTGTCGCAGCTTCCATAGGCTGAGCCCCACTAGCCCTGTTTCACTTTGGGAAAAGCTGGGTGCCTGGGGGCTAAACCCCACTTTGCACAAGCCCCAGCAGTTCGGGAGGGTTTAACTTGCAAAAAGCACAGCAAGCCCCTGCCTGTGCCGCGGCCCTTTTGGCCGGACCTGAAAGGGTTTGCCTCCCATTTCGTGGCCAGGAGAGGATGCAGTGGCCCCCCAGCAGCTGTTTCATGACCAGGCTCAAGCCACCAGTGGCCAAGAGCAAAAATAACTACCTCTTTTGAGGGACTTGACTGAAACTGTTGAGGCTGAGGTTAAGCTCAGCCGGGGTGGTAAAAGCCAAAACTGAGAGAGCATCCTTGGAAAGAGCTAGTGCAAGGCCGGTTTTGACAACGTCGAGAGTCGATGAGCAACGGATTGCTTGACTCCATATTTGTATGGCCCAAGAGAATGACAGAAAGGAAATAGAGCAGCAGGTAGATAAGGACGGGAACGAGAGTCCCACCGCTGCTTCACTGGCGGGAGGAATCTGCGGCGTTAGTGGACAAAGAGCAGTCGAAAAGGAAGTTGCCCATTGCTCACGCACCTTCTTCCCTCCTCCTCACCAAAGGATGTAAAGTTAATGAAGGGAAGGCATGCTCCTATCCCGCATATCAGAGACTCAGCCAATGTCTATTGGGGGTTTTTTTCTGCAAACATATGGAGATGAGGCTCTTCAGACCTCTAGGAAACAAACCCTTTGGTGGAACAGAAGTATTTGGGAATAGGTGTCTCAATTTTCAGCTTTCAACAAACAAACCAAAGAAGAAACTGTAACTTCCCTCAGACCATGGTTTTCTTCCGACTTTCTTTTTTAAGGGTCATGCATACATTTTCTTCCATTACTTTTTATCTGTAATCTAACATCTGTAGGTTGTTTTACAGTCGGACCCGCAGTAGCTCACCAACCTGGGGGGGGGAAGCAGCCTTCTTGCCGAATGGCCGCTCTGGATGCTGCTGACCTTCACCAGCTATGTAAACTACATTTCCTTCCTATGCCAAAGGATCAAATCAGCTGTCAGCAGAACAATGCTCACGCGGACAACATGGAAAAGGCTGCCGAAGCCCTTTGGATAGGGAACCATCGCGCTGGGCTTGGCCTCCTTCCAGGCTCCGCACGCATGAGCAGACACTTTGATGGCAAGTGCCTTCGAAGGGGGATCGCAGCCAAGCGATTCAAAGGCATTTTGGTGTTTAATTCGCAATGCTTTCAGTGAACGTTAGGCAGGAAAATACCTTTGAAGTTTCGTGCCCGGATTTATTCTTTCTGTGAGACTTGGGTTAGGGGTATTCCCAAGCGAGCAGATGATTAACTTGAACTTTCTACTGGGCTGGAGATGTAGTACTACACTGACTTGCAGACCCTTCTGCTGCGATTAGATATGGTCCCACAGTTTTATAGTTCCTGTGAGTTTTACAGCCCATGCCTATTAAGGAGTGAAGGGGTCCGTGATTGCTGTTGTAGCACAGGACCAAAATCTGTGTGCTATCTGAATTAACTTATTCTAAACGCTATCCCTTGAAGAAGAAAGCCATTGCTCATTTAATCTGTTTTTGTTCCTGTGGGCGAGGCTTACACGCTGCATTTACTCATGCAAAATAATGCTGACAGGTTGTAACCCAGCCCTGCTCCACGTGGCAATCGCAGCTGCCTGAGGGGCGGAGGGAGGCAGTGATTTGGGGAGAAGCAGCCCTGAGTGGTGTTCCCTGATTTCGGCCCCATCTTGGTGGGAGCACCGGGCACATCGCCGCGGCCTCGTGCTGGGGCGGCACAGCCCTCCAGGGCCGGCGAGGTGGCAGGCTGGGGCAGAGCGCTGCCTGCCCGGATAAACAGGGAAGTCGTGAATGAGAGCAGGGAGGGGATCGTCTGTCT